CATGTGGGCCTGAGGGACTGGGCACCCAGGTGCTGAGGTCATGTGGGCCTGAGGGGCTGGGCACCCGGGTGCTGAGGTCATGTGGGCCTGAGGGGCTGGGCACCGGGTGCTAAGATCATGTTGAGCCTGAGGGACTGGGCACCCGGGTGCTGAGGTCATGTGGGCCTGAAGGACTGGGCACCCAGGTGCTGAGGTCATGTGGGCCTGAGGGGCTGGGCACCCAGGTGCTGATGTCATGTGGGCCTGAGGGGCTGGGCACCCGGGTGCTGAGGTCATGTGGGCCTGAGGGACTGGGCACCCAGGTGCTGAGGTCATGTGGGCCTGAGGGACTGGGCACTCAGGTGCTGAGGTCAGTGTGAGCCTGAGGGACTGGGCACCCAGGTGCTGAGGTCAGTGTGAGCCTGAGGGACTGGGCACCCAGGTGCTGAGGTCAGTGTGAGCCTGAGGGACTGGGCACCCAGGTGCTGAGGTCAGTGTGAGCCTGAGGGACTGGCTCCTGCCAGCATTCACATCAGCTCCTGCTTCACCTGCCTGTCCTTATGTTCTAGGCCCGTCCCTGCATGCACGACACTGGGGAGCCCCCCAGCAGTGGGAAATTCGCCAGAAACAGCAGCAGGAGGAACTGAGCACACCCCCAACATCTCTGGGGCTGCAGGAGACCATTGCAGAGTCTCTGTATATTGCCCGACCCCTACTGCACTGTATCCTTAGCTGTGCTGGAGGTAGGTTGGGGAGGAGCCGGGCTGGAGCATGCACTGGAGACATCCTTGACACCTTGACTGTCAGTGCTCAGTCTAGGCTTCTGGGGTCAGCGGTCATGGACACCCTGGCTACTATCTGGTGTGGTGGATATGACTAGGTGAGCATCAGCAGGGACTCCATTCCTCCCGTGGGCTCTCTGCGTGCCGTTTGGCTGTCCCTCTCAGGGACAGAGGCCATCCTTGTTCCTATGTCCCTGGCCCACAGCCTGAGTCTCCTGAGTAACAGAAAGAGCCTGACTCGAAGGGAACAGCTCGAGCTAAGGCGCCGCACAATCCTGCTGCTGTACTACTTGCTGCGCTCGCCCTTCTACGACCGCTTCTCTGAGTAAGGCGCCCTCCTCACCTCCCTTCCCTCCCCTCGTATCAGCAGGGCTGTCCATGCTGCACGGAGAGGGCTGGGCTCAGCTGAGTCCTGGCTGCTTCCAGAGCTGTCCAGGATACAGCCACCAGAGCCGCTGCACCATCAGGCCAGTGTGAGCTTCTGTGCTTGTTGGCAAGAGAAGCCACCGTTGAGGCAGGCCACCTATCTCCAGCTCTTTGCACCGTAGGCAGTCCATTTTCAAAGGGGCCCCAGCTAGGCTGTCACTGCTGGGCCCATCCCACACTGACACCTGTGAGGTCTCAAAGCCTCTGCCTTAGCCAGAGAAATCTTTCAAAAAGGCCTGCAAGGGTATGATCTGTGGTGGAGTTTCTGAGCAGGAGCGGGGCTGTGAGACTAACGGGCTCAGTTCCTCACCTGTAAAGTGGAGATAGTGATGGCACCCATTTGCAGGGCTCAAATAGGGGTCAGGTGTTTGGCCATGCTTGGTATGTAATGAGCATGTGATAAATATTAGGTCTTTTTTTTTCACCAGTGTTTGCTGGTGATCAAGCCTAAGGCTTCAAACATGCTAAGCAAGTATTGTACCCTGAACCACACGTCCACCCCATACATGTTCTTTCACTGTTCCCAACATCAGTATGTCCCACCCCAAGTCCCATATGGAAAGTCCCATATCTTAAACAACAAGCATCTCCTTGAGCCAAGGGGGACTCTTCTTAGGCCCGCTGCTCTGACCACTGGCGTGTGAGGTACTGTAGCTCAGCTCTCCTGCCAGTTTACCTCCCCAGAAATCTCCAGGGCGCAGGCTGTGCTACCAAGTGGCCTTAGGAAGGAAGCTTTGTTTGTTGTTGAATGCAAAGGTCCAAAGAGGGTAAATGAGGCAGCAAAGGGGAGGGGGAGTGTTGTGCTGGTGCCGACTGACGGGTGGACAGAGCTGTGGGCACGGGTGCAGCTGTAGATAGGTTAGTGCCAGCGATCTGGCCTTGTACTGGAGTCTGTCTAGCCCATTTTCTGAAGTGCCTGGTGGTCAGAAGAGGTCTTCAGCTCCTGATGTGCAGAAATCCACCCCACCCCCACCATGCTGTTTCTCTTTCTTGTCCAGAGCCAAGATCCTCTTCCTGCTCCAGCTCCTTGCAGATCATATCCCTGGTGTTGGCCTGGTAGCAAGTAAGTGGGTGGACGGCGTGGGTGTAGAGTCCCCGAGTGGAGAGTCAGTGGGTGGATGGCGTGGGTGTAGAGTGTCCCCGAGTGGAGAGTCAGTGGGTGGACGGCGTGGGTGTAGAGTGTCCCCGAGTGGAGAGTCAGTGGGTGGACGGCGTGGGTGTAGAGTGTCCCCGAGTGGAGAGTCAGTGGGTGGACGGCGTGGGTGTAGAGTCCCTGAGTGGAGAGTCAGTGGGTGGACGGCGTGGGTGTAGAGTCCCCGAGTGGAGAGTCAGTGGGTGGACGGCGTGGGTGTAGAGTGTCCGAGTGGAGAGTCAGTGTGGGTGGACGGCGTGGGTGTAGAGTGTCCCCGAGTGGAGAGTCAGTGGGTGGATGGCGTGGGTGTAGAGTGTCCCCGAGTGGAGAGTGAGTGTGGGTGGATGGCGTGGGTGTAGAGTGTCCCCGAGTGGAGAGTGAGTGTGGGTGGACGGCGTGGGTGTAGAGTGTCCCTGGGGCACAAACAGCCCCATCTTGCTGTGTGCTCTCTCTCCTTTTGGTTTGATTATTGGGCAGTCAAGAGTGAAACCTAAATCAGTACTGGGAGGTGACAGACAGCTCCGGGGCCTAAGTTCACCCGCGGAGGTGGGAAGGCAGCTGTGTCTGTGTGGAGGATTATTAGGCCATGGCAGGTGGCAAGCCCTCTTCTGCCTCTGTGACCTGAATTATAGAAGACAGGCAAGGAGGGGCCTTGGGGCCTGCTGAGTACCTGACTGTAAAAAAGACCTGCTGCTCAGACCCCTGGCTCCCCTGAAACCAGGGGTCCTTTGTCTGTGAACTTCATCTCCGTCATCGTGGCTGAGGCAGGAGACACAGCTGCTGGCTGGTGGCAGTGCCAAGGGGCCTGGCTTGGCCCTAAGTCCTCCTTCCTTCTCCTTGCAGGGCCGCTCATGGACTATCTGCCCTCCTGGCAGAAGATATATTTCTATAGTTGGGGCTGACCGACATGCAGGAGTGGGTCGAGTGGCCATGTGGTGTGCTCCGTTGCTCTGGGCCTGCCACAGCCCTCCAGTCCCCCAGGTCCCTCTTCTCTAATAAAACTGACTCTCGTCGTGTCCCAGCATGTGGCTTTGTGTCCAGCAGCCAGCACCTGCCCTGGCAGGTCTTTTTCAGCCCTGATCACCACACTGTTCCTTTTCACGCCTTCCTAATATGGAGCACTGCAGCCGGCTCCTTGTCAGTGGGCAGGGAGCCTCCTTCAGGTCCGGGGCAGCTTCATCTTGGCATAGCAGACTGACTTAGCCTCCTCCGGCATGTGTCATGATTTGCCTCAACTGCGTGACTAGATGCTTCTTTCTCACTGGCCCCTGGTGAAGACAAGTGAAGGAAGCTAGGCCACGGATGAGCATGGTCTAATAAGCCTTCTAGGCAGGACCTGTTTCCCCTCTCGCTACAGGCTAAACAAGCCCAGCATGCTCCCCAGGAGAAGCTCTTCTCCATGGCAGAAGTCAGCTCTGCTGGGACTGCGACGGGACAGAGTGCAAACTGAGTTTGTAGGAAAATGAGCAGTTGCTGTGTGCGCTGGAGTTCCCTCTCGCTGACTCTCCCAGCAGGCTGGCTCTAGAGCTAGGCAGGCTGTGGTGGAGAAAAGAGGGCCTGAACTTTACTCTCCTCAGTGTTTGTCCTCCCCTTCTTCCTTTGTCCCTTTCTGTCTCTTAGACAAAAGTCTCACTGGCCTCAAACTCATGGTCGTCTCAGTGTGCGACTAGAGAGTAAGCTGTCACACCTACCTTGTTCCTGTCCTTCCTAGCAGGTCTCTTGACTTTGGAGAACACTGCACCTCTCCTTCAGGCTCCTCCTCCACTGTGCTCTAATAGCCCAGCTCAAGTGGACATGCTTGCCGTGTGATGCTGAGACGCACAGCCCTGGGCTCTGAGCGGGAGCAGTAGAAAGGGCAGCCCATCAACTTGTGGACTCTGAAACTGACCCTCTCTGCACAGCCTCACAAGCATTCGGAGTACCTACACTAGCAGACTCTGGTGCCATACAGCACGTGGTCCCTGCCTTGCAGGCCCTAACTACCAGGTACATCCTACACTGAGATCGTGAAGATGGAGATGGTGTTGCCTCCAGCAGTGATGGCAGAGGAGAAGGAAACCTTCCAGCAGCTTGTGAAACGCAAATCCAGGAGCGGTTTTGTCAGGTTGGAGCTGGATAGAGACTAGCCACCACGCCACATCCCTCACCCAGAACTTCAGTTTCCTGCCTGCATCTGGGGCAGGGGCTTGGAGCACAACCCTCAAGTGCCATGCTGCAGGGACATGAGGAGTGGATGGCATGAGGCCCAGGGAACAGTCTGGTGGGCAGAGATGAAAGGGTGGGGAACGTCTGCGGGGATGTGGGAGAGGCTCAATCAAGGTAGTGGGCAGGAGATGAATGACGCAGCAGACCATGGGGATTGTGGGTAGGGAGGAATATGGTGGTGTCCAGGAGTCAAGAGTGATGGATGAGGCTTTGGAGTTGAATAGCATATGGGATTCCAAGTCCCTAGAACTGAGGACGGGAGGTACCCTGGCAGGGCTGCAATACTAAAGCAGTTGTATGGGACAAGAGTCTTCTCCAGGCCTGGCGGTGGTAGTATACATCTTTGATCCCAGCACCTGAGAGGCAGAGGTGGAGGCAGACAGATCTCTGAGTTCAAAGCCAGCCTGGACTACAAAGTGGGTTCCAGGATGACCAAGGCTATACAGAGAAACCCTGTCTCAAAAAAGTCTCCAATCCTAGCACTCTGGGAGGCAGAGGTAGACAGACCCCAGTGAGTTCAAGGCCATCCTGGTCTACAGAGCAAGTCCCAGGACAGCTAGGACTGTTGACACAGAGAAACCCTGTCTTGAGAAACAGTCTTCTCCAGGAAGAGAGGTAGTGCTGGCGCTGAGCCCTGGAACTAATGTCCTTTGTGAGGTGGCCCTGAGAATTGGCACCAAGTTCCGTCCTGCTGGGGGAGGGGCAGGCAGAAGCCACAGTAGGGACTGTATACAGGAGATGGTTCTCGCCATGCTGGGGGCTCTGTACCCCAGGGCTGGGCTCAGTCTCTTCCTTTTTTACCTCATCCTGGCAGGCGCACTCCTTCGACCTCAGCCCCAGAGGTAAGGCCAGAACCTCAGGGCCTAGAAGACTGGGTGAGGCTGACCGTCATCCTGGGAAGGGTTAGTTTATCAAGTTTTCACACTGGGCTATAGCACAAACCAAAGTGGCAATGGCCTTTGGTGCCAGGGCTCAGCTCAGCACAGCGACGTTTCCTGTAGGTCTCAGCGATCTGTCCCTGAGGAATTTTCAGCCCCGCTGGAACTCCTGCAGCCGCTCTCAGACCTAGTGGATGGTAGTATTTCTCTCTCCTCTCCCACCCTCCACAGCCGATGTCCCTAGAGCGCCCCTAGGGTCAAGCCCTGTGTCTCCTACTCCCAGACTGCGACCTCAGAGCTCACTACAACCCCATTCCAAGTCAGGAGCTCCTCCCTCCACCATTATCCTCTTCTCTCTGTAGACTATGGGATCAGACCCAAGCACCCGTGGCCACGAGGGCCCCGACCCCTTCTCTCTCATGCCCAGCAGCGCAAGCGGGACGGGCCCAACATGGCTGACTATTACTATGACGTGAACCTGTGATGGGAACCCGCATAAAGCTATTCTGGGCAGCGAATGCTTGGCTTGCTAGCCTGTGTGTGACGAGAAGGCCCAGCAGGGGTCCAAGTAAATACACCCACTGTGATCCAGACAGGAAATGGCACTTTAATGGTGGTCGCCAGGTGACAAGACAGCATGGGATTGGCTGGGGCCAGCTGAGAGACTGCCTTTCTCTGCCAGGCAGGGCTTGCTGTAACCTCTCCTTCCTAGCGCACAGAAGCAGGCCAGGACCAGCAAGCTGGCCAGGCTGGAGGTCAGAGCTGCCTGGAGGCCCCACGATGCTAGCTGAGAACAGGGTCTTTGCTGTCCTGTATGTCATTTCCTTACTGGAAAGTCCTTGGGAGGCGGCTGGGCTCAGCCTGAGCTCAGGGCTCTAGGTGAGGTGGGAACAGGAAGATGGGCACTTCCAGGTGGAACGGGCTTTGTCAAGGCAGGAGCCAAGTGCCAGGGAAGCCACGGTCCCTGGCATGAAACAAGGCCCAGGGCAGGGCAGTACCTCTGTTCCTAGGGGATTCCTTTGTGGTCAGAGGCCTGACCTCCCAGCCCCATCCTTTCCCAGCCCCCAGAGAGCCTGTACTGTCCTCCATAGATGAATCTAACCCCATATATTACAATAAACTGCATCTGCCTCTCCCCACCCCCGTCCCACCCCCAAACAGCCCTCATTTCCCCTTCTCTCGTGGCAGTGCCACGTCTTGTCTGTAGCCAGCTGTCCTAGTACTGGCCTGGGGCTGGGGGCTGCAGAGGGTGGGGGCGCCGCTACTCCAGGTAGATGTCTTCTGTAGGACAGGTGTACTCCACAAACTGCTTGTAGAACTGGTGAAATGCACGCCTGGAAAATGGGGGACAGCTGGGGTGACCAGGGCCTCCACCCAGGTTCTCCCAAAGGCACTTTAGAATTCCAGGGCAGCGTAGCTCTGTGCTCTGGGCAGTCATCTCCCAGAGAGGAACAGGCAGCTAACTAACAAGGAAGTGCCCCAGACCCTGGGCTTCTCAGGACCTCCCAGCCTCTTCCAGGACAGGGTGACAATGGCACTGCACAGGAGAAAGTACCAGGGCTGTGACAGGGCACATTACCTGGGCAGACCCTTACCAACACACACACACACTTACCCCACAGACTCTGCCAGGGCTTTGGTGGAGTCTTCGGACACAAAGACATGGCAGGCAAACCGGTGATCAGCAGGGTGCTTGGTGATGAACCCAAAGTACCTGTGGGAAGGCAGGCATGTGTGAGACAGAATTCTTACCCTTACCCCCGATGGCCCAAGCCTAGCAGTGGGGCTCTTCTGTCTGCCTCTCCCACTTACTTGTTGTTCTTTGGATGGTATCCACAGAAAGAGATGTTTTTTAGCTGGAAAAAGTGGCTACATTTATTTCCCTACAGGAGGGACAAGAGAAACAAGACAGTCAGCTTGCAGGGGAAGCAGGCAGGAGGGGCAAATAGGGAAAAGGTGGGCACATGGGGAAGGGAGAAGCATGTGGGACAAAGGGCTGGCTGGGGCTTGAAGGAAGTCACCTTGGCCTCCTGAGCATCATCGGCTTTGACACCTATCTTGACACCCCTGACACTGATTTCAAGGACACAGCTGGAGGGTGGGTTAAAGTGCACGGTGAGCCGGCGGGTGGTGGCAATCTGCACAAGGGACAGAAACACAGGGAAGCTCCGTGTTTCTCTCTGGATCCCTCACATCACAGCACCGCCTCCAGACCCCTGTCCTTTTCCCCAGCAGAGGGGGCTGGCTGAGGATCGGCATCCCCAGGAAAAAGCAAGGAGTCAGATTTGGGTACCTTTTGCATAGCGGCACAGAGGACATCATTGCCCTTGTGATAAGGAACCTGGACGGAGCCCAGGAACTTCACCCGGAACTGGTCAGTCCAGTCGCTGTTTTTGGCAAGGGCTGGAAAACAACCATACAATAAGAGAACCTCAGCATGGGGCTCAGAGCCAAGCCAAGAAGGGAGAGTGCAGCCTGTGGGACAGCGGGGGTGCTACTTGGCAGAACTGAAATGACCTCTGCCCGTCTCCCTGGTTAGCTGAGACCTGGGGTGCGTGTTCACTAGCAGCCAAGTTTGGTGGGGAGATGCAGGGGTGGGTGGGACCAAACTGGAGGGAAGTACTACCTGCCATGTGCTCGGGTTCCTTGGTGACCTCAATGGCATAGTAGGCAGGAAACACACCTCGGGCTCCTGTGCGCATGTTATAGGCCTCGTACCAATAGTCTTCTGCCTGCAGCTCCACCAGCAGAGGGTCATCCACTTCTAGCTCAAGTTCGTCTTCATGTCGAGGAACAAACCTGTCCCCAAGGGCATGTGGTACTGATCATCGGGGTTCTTTAGCCAGACCCAGCCTGGAACCCTGAGCCGTTGACATTTGCAAAATGCCCATGTGCCTGACACAATGCGGCCCCCCCAGGGACACATGGCACTCAGATAAGCATCTGCTACCCAGGACTTCAAAGGCCAGGGAGGAAGGCAAGATGGGGCACAGGTTCTATGCAGGGCAGACAGCTCTGGCCCCTAACCAGGTTCAGCGCACAGATCCAGATTCCTCATAACACCTCATCATTTTGTCTCTAAGCTGAGTTCCTACAAGGGGATACTGTCCCCCAGCAGCTGAAGGGATGCCAATGATGGGCTGGTAGAGGCAAGGAAGGGGGCAGCCCTCACCTGAATATGGCCCGATGGGATTGCTCATGCTCCTCCCCGTTGATGACACAGGAGAACAGCCCGAAGGACTCGGCACCTGTAGGAAGTCATAGGCTGGAGGAGGTGGCCTCGGCTTAGGGCAAGTAGAAAGCTCTGGCCTGCTCTCAGACAGACTATGTGCCATCTCAGCTTTCCCTGGCCAGAGCCCCCACCATCCCCTGCTCACTGACTCACTGGAGGAGCGAGAGCGGCCACTCATGAAGACGTTCAGAAACTTCTTCGAGAAGTGCACATCAGGCTCATCTGGTGTGGAGTCCTCTGAGAGGCAGGCGGGCGGCCGGGGCTGAGGAGCCTCCTCATACTCCTCCCCAATGGCTGACTCGTAGGGCGAGGACGCAGAGGCACAGTTGTCATACACGGTGGCGGAGTCGCTCTCGTCGCTGTAGTCTCCGAAGCATGGCCGCAGGCTTACCAGCTCAAGCTGCGCATGCTCATCCACCACCAGCGTGTACTTGACCGAGTCGTAGGACAGGGCACTGGTGTCCGAGCTCAGTGAGGCCCGTGGAGGCGGGGGTGGCTCCCGACGGCTTTCCCGCCACCCTCCTTGTGGCTCTGCTCTCTCTGGGGATGACAGGCAGTCGAAGCCCTCATCCTCTTCACTGATGGAGGGGTGTGGCCGTCCTGCAGTTGCCGAGTAAACTGCTGGGTCTGGATCTGAACTAACTGACATCCGGCTCTCCGTGGGTGGCAGGAAGGAGGAAGTGGGCTCTGCAGGGTCTGGGGGCCTCTGCACTGGGGTCAGGTAGATCTCCTCAGTTGCCTCTAGCCGCACGTCTGCCTGATAGTGGATTCGGTCTCGATGGGAGTGGCCCCGGCCACTGGGTGCAGTGGCAGGAGGACCACTCGGAGGTGCCATCTGAGTGGCGGCGCTGCGGCGGCAAGGGCTGTCGGTGGAGGTGCCTCGATCCTTGGTGGGAAGAGGACTGCTCTGCGGTGGCAGTTCATCACTCAGGCAGATGTGTTCATGTGGCGGTGTCTGCTCCCCTAGAGGACAGACAAGTTGGTACTGAGAGCCAGACCCACTCCAGACAACTGTCCCTCCTCTTCCCTCTGCAGCCAGTCTCTGGCTCCCGGTGACCTCAGCCCAGGTGGGCCAGGTGAGGACGGCTGGGTCTCTAGCTCAGGGAGAAGCCTCACTTACCTGTCTTGAGAGGAGAGGATGATCGAGACACGCGGTCCTGCCAACTGTGCTTTTTGCCTAAAGAATTATTGTTCAGCGTGTCCTGTGCAGAGGACAAAGGGCTCTTATGAAGAGGCAGCCAGCAGTGCCCGGCACTGGGAGGTCCTGGGCCTGCCCCCATCAGGCCACCCCATCTGGCCTTGCCCAAGGCCTCTCTGCCAATCTTCCCCTATAGCAGGCAGGATGGGAAATTACCACCCTCCCCCAGGCCTGCTGGCTTGGAGACAACCCTCAAGGGATGCAGTAGTGGGTGCTGGCCAGTGTGGGTGCTGAGGAGAGGATGCGGTGTGTGTGTGGGGGGGGGCAGCACAGCTCCCACAGGAGAGTCAGACAGCAGCCCCAGACACTGAGGGAAGCCATGTTCTGATGCTCAAACCCAGCCTGGTGAAGGACAGGGTGATGGACTCAGAAACCTGGGGTCCAGCAAAGTGGTGGGTGCAGTCTGGCACAAGGAAGGGTCTCCCCAGAAGCTGGCCTGTGGGCCTGGATGAATCACTAGAACCATGACTCCATAACACTCACCCCCACTTCACCCCACGTGACTAAGGAATGGCAGTCCTACTTTCTGGATCTCCCAGAATGCTCACACATCCCACATCCTTAGCCTCCTGGGACCCCTGAGCAGGGCTCTCCACACACAACTTGCGCTCCCTCTCCAGGGAACACCATAAGCAACACACACATTCATGAGTTGAGCTGTCAGAGTCCATGCCAGAGGATTCTGGGAAAGGGAGCAAGCTCTTCCCTGAAGCCTCTGAACTATCCACCTCCCCAGCTCCTTCCCTCCCAGTACCTCTCCTGCCTAGGCAAACAAGACAATGGGTTAAGGCAGCCCTCTTTGGCATCCAGCCACCTGCCAGGGGCCCTAGGCCCCCAACTCAGTCAAACAACTCCATCCTCCCGTCTCTAGTGTTGCTTTCTGGAATGCCCAGCTGCTGAGAGGTCCAACTGGCTGCAGACCCTGAATTCCCACTCCGGCTTAATCCCATTTCAGATGCTCTTTTCTCCAGGCGCTGTTGCTGCCTCAACCTTCACAGAAGCCCCCAACCCAAAGATGACCTTGTCACAGCCGGGGGAGCCCAGCTCCTTTGTTAGGTCCCTGCAAATCTCCCCACTGGAATCCCTGGCAACACCTTCAACCCTTTCCAGGCTCCACACCCAGCCAACCGGACAGACTTCTCAGGACTTTCCTGCCCCTCGTCA